AACAAGTGGGCATTGTTTACATTTAGGAAGTTATTTCCCTTCTCTGTTTGCCGTATTTCTTACCTACTGGAAGAACTTGTGGTGTTTTTACTCTTTGAAAGCAAAACCAGCAGAGTGTGTTGAATTCCTCTTTCAGTTCAGCCTGTGTGCTGTTGGGATGTAACTTGTAGATGGATTTGGTGGATGAGCAGACAAAGAGGATTGCACTGTTGTGTAGGTTTGTTTGTAGATTAACTAGAAAGACTCAGTTTGCTTTAAAGTTAATTTAAAAAAAAAGTATGTATAAAAGACATTTTGGTGTGTTACTCAGGTAGGCAAGATGAGGCAAGGACTACATTTATATCAGAAAAAAACAGTCTTTATTTGGGTAGAACTGGGATGAGTTCTATGGAATGTTTCATGTGCTACAGTTACAAAAGTATGAATTGTGTTAGAAAATAGCAACTAGGGCCAATCTTGGGCCAAATTAGGAAGAATGCAGAATAATTTGTCAAATGGCAGTTGCTTTTCTAATTCCTGGACTTTGGAGCACAGTTTTCTGACCAGTTGAGGCTTTTTGGCAGCCTTTTGGAAGCAGATATAACACACTAAGGATGGAATTAGGGTTGCCTGTGTATTGGAGGGTTGTTTCTTTGGGACAGCAGTTTATCTGTGCCAACTGCAAATAAATCAGTATATAATAACAGTTACAGCTGGGATACAAATGAGACTGTGCTTTGTCAGTGTTGCCTGGAGGAAAAAAAAAACCCTCTGGAATTCTGAGGGTGCTGAGGAGTTACCCAGGAAAAGTATTCCATGATTGCAGCTGGTTTAGGGAATGAAGGAGTGTCTTGTTTAAGCTGTGGTGCAAAACCTGCAGTGGAGTGTTTGACAGCAAGATACAACCCCTGACACCTCGTGGTGGCTGAGGGCACCATCAGGAACATCCCTCTGTCACCAAACCTTGTGTGGTTTGGCTGAGAAAGAAACCCTGCCTGTCCTGGCGTGCTTTTGGTGTCGGCTTCGTTTAAACTCCCGGTCAGACCCCACCTGAACTCTGCTGAAGTGCAGAGGCTGCTTTTCCTTGCATTTGTTTGACAGTGGTTTGGACCAGCAGGGGCCTGACTGGTGTGTTGTTCTCCAAACTGAGGAGAGTTGCTGTCTTTGCTGGTGAGGGAAGGATCCCCCCCAGGCTCACTCTGCCCTTTCCCCCTGTGCAGTCCGGACGTGCTTTGTGAGTGACCTCCAGCGCGGGCTGAAGATCCAGGCAGCCAAGTTCAACCTTGATGGCAGTGCCGAGGTGGGTGGAGAGTGAAGCTCCTCCTGCTCTTTTGGAGGTGGCTGGAGCTCTTTTGGGCCTCCAAAATGTCACCCTTGTGGTTTTATTTCCAGCGTCCTTCGCCGCCTCCAGACGTGGACTATCCTTTGGATGGGGAAAAGATTCTCCACGTGGTCGGCCCCATCAGGTGAGAGATGCCATGACAGAGTATTATTGATCACTATGAGGATAAATCGCAACTCTAAAAGCACGTTAGTTTGCATAAAGCTGAGTTTTAATGAAACACTTGCATGTGCTTTTAGTGCCTCTTAATAAATAAAGTGCCCAGTGCAAGCCCAGCCTGGGCGGCTTCTGCAGAGCTTAGAGAGGGGAGGAGAAATGAGTGTTAATGCCTGATGGTGGGGCAGATTTAGTGACATGAATGAGGAGTTTTAGCCTGGAGAAAAGGAGGCTCAGGGGAGACCTTTTCAGTGTCTGCAGCGCCCTGACAGGAGGGTGGAGCCAGGTGAGGGTTGGTCTCTTCTCCCAGTGGTAAATGATGGGATGAGGGGAAATGGCTTCCAGCTGTACCAGCAGAGGTTTAGATTGGAGATGAGGGAAAATGTCTCCATTGGAAGGGTTAAGCATTGGAACAGGCTGCCCAGGGAAGTGGTGGAGTCTTTTCCAATCTGAAGGATTCCAGGATTGTGTCTCCCCAGTGCAGGGGCTGTGTGACAGAGGTGACAATGTGCTGGCAACGGGAAGTGTGAAGTTATCTCAGCTCTGCTGTTGCTGAGTTGAGCTCACAGTGTGGTTCTGCTCCTCGTTAACACTCACTTTGCTGCCTGTTCCACAGAGACTCCGTGGTGGAAATACTGTTTGAACAGGATAATGAGGAGACATCTGTTGCCACTTTGATCTTGGATTCCCTCGTTCAGGTATCTTTATATTAAACAATTTATGGAATTCCTCCAGCCTTGGAGATCCTGCAGTTATAAATGACTCAAGACTTGGAGTCCTGCGGGCTGCTGCTTTACCTGAGCTGGAATAAAATTAATTTGGACATCTTTATTACAGGCAGCATATTGGATTTATTGCAGAAAATTTTCTTGGCATATACAAACATTGCAGTTCTTACTATATTTAGGGAAAAAAATGCATTAGAAAACCACTATAAATGGAAATTTTTGTTGTGTGATGATGGATGTGTGTTAATTAAAGTTGACTCCCTGTAGTTATTCATGCCATTTAAATAAAGATTGCTGAGAGGTAATTTATTGGAGAGCCACGGACTTGGGCTGACATGACAAACGCTTCCATTAGAATTCCTTAGGAAAACAAATTGTTTAAGGAGATCTGTGCCTGGACCCCTCACCTCTGCACCTCCAGGCATTTGCCCATGGCTTATGTTGGTTCTGTTCCAGTTAAATACAGGAAAACAGCAGGGCATGGAAAAGGACTGAACGTCCAGCAGACCTCTGAATGCACTTCAAGTTCAGGCAATTCCAATTCAAATGATTTTTTTTGGGGGGGGGGTTTCATTTTCTGTTTGCATCAGTGCCCCATAGACACCAGGAAGCAGCTGGCAGAGAACCTGGTGGTGATCGGGGGCACCGCGATGCTCCCGGGGTTCCTGCACAGGCTCATGGCAGAGATCAGGTACCTGGTGGAGAAACCCAAGTACAAGGAGGCCCTGGCCACCAAAACCTTCAGGATTCACACCCCACCTGCCAAACCCAACTGCGTGGCCTGGCTGGGAGGTAAGAATGGGAACAGCTGAAGGGGGAAGGGGGAAACAAACCCACCAAGTGAGGTTTGTGAGGAGTGAAGAGCAGGGGAAATGAGGGGAAGTGTTGAAGTCAAGCTGCAGGGAGCTCTGGTGTGTGGAGTGAAGCTCCCTCAGGGATATTTGAGGGTTGTGGAAGCTTTAAGCAGGTGAGGAGCAGCTGGAAACAGGTGGAAGGTGAGGTGCTGGCTCAGAGCTCCCTCCATACCAACGAGGCAGAGGGAGATTCCTCCTTGGGAGATAATCTCCTGATGGGAAAATCAAATTTAATCACCGATGGAGGAGCTGTGGAGAGGCTGCCAACTCCCTGTGCTGGTCACAGGTGCCAGTAACAAACACTATTGAAAACTTTTTGTTTTCAAACTTGTTATTTTTAGGATTAGATTCCTAAAAATTAGGACTTTTAGAAATCAGGACAAGTTCTAGGCACCAAGTTCTTGATGCTTTTCTTCCCTGGCAGCTCCCACGGGCTGGGTGTTGTCACAGCTTGTGTGAACTTGAGTGACACCATTTTGGGGATAGAAAAACTGCCTTGAACACAACAGGGTTTGGTTGAAACGCTTAAATTCAAAACTTTTAGGAAACTTTGTCATAAGAAGTTGGTTAACCAGGCCAGGTTTGCCGTCAGCAGAGTGTAGATGGTTCTTTGTGTCCAGTTACTGTCAAGGGACATAAATGGAAGCAGTTTGTGATTAGCTGGGCTACTGAAAAGGAAAGCAGCTCTATCCTTTCATTCCTTTAATTTGTGGGCCAGAGCTGAAAAAACCCAAGCAGTGCAGATTCCTGATGGGAAGGATTAGAAAACAAAATTCAGTACATCAAATTAACGCCCTTTTTTTTTTTTTTTTTTTTTCTTCCTTCCCAATAACGCAGGAGCCATTTTTGGAGCACTCCAGGACATCCTTGGCAGCAGATCCGTGTCCAAGGAATATTACAGCCAGACAGGCCGCATTCCCGACTGGTGCTGCCTGAACAATCCCCCTCTGGAAATGATGTTCGATGTTGGAAAAGCACCCCCACCGCTGATGAAAAGGGCTTTTTCTACAGAGAAATAGGGCCCTCCATGTCACAGAAGGGTTCTGCTCCACTTCAGATACATGTGCATTGGGTTTTGTTTTTTATGGAGTACTTTATGTGTAACATTATTAAATAGCACCAACCTGGATGTTTTCAGGGAGTGTAGGCACTAACACTATTTAAAGACATGTCCAGTTATAGTTTAAAAACTTCACTTTGGCAACTGCTGTCCTCTTTTGTCTTGTCCTGAAGGAGTTCTGCGCTGTCATGAGTTGTACCCTACTGAGTTGCTTGTTATTTATCTGTATAGTAAATGGCACCGCTGGGAGAGAATTTGTTTTGAGAGGTTTTAATTTTAAATGGGCTTAGAAGAAGGAGGGGAAATAATCTATGGAAGGAAAATACCTATGGAAGGGGTTTTTTTTCCTGTAAATTCTGCATTAAAATATTCCACCCTCGAATCACCTGTGAGGATGTTGTTTGGGGCTGTTCAGCAGAGGTGGTGGGACATTATTTTGCCCCTGGATACCGTCCTGTTTTGAGAGTTTTAGCAGAGAACTCTTGTGCCTGTAGTTCTCACCTAATGCTCTTCTGGTATTTCTCCTCCAAGAAAGATTTCAGAATTATAAATCATAATAAATTACTAGAGTAATTGTAAACAGGGGTGTGAGGGCAAACTTGACTCCCTGGCTCATACTGTGTTTTGCCTTAACACATGGTGTTAGTTGGCACGTGGGAGGAGATGCTCCCTTTTAATTTAATGGTTTTCAAATGGAAAAAAAGAAAAGCCCCAAGCCCCAGGAACTGCTGCTTCAAGTGTTAAAGAGTCTGTGTTAGCTGAGACTTTGCTGGTTGGTAACAGAGGGCTCACAGCACTGACAATGATTTCTCCTCAGAGAAATCTGCTGGCAGCAGCTGTGTTTTTAAATTGCCTTCTTCCCACACAGAAAGCTTGGAAAACCAGACAGGTGTAGCTGTGAGAAGTTGTTTTATAGGCCTGGGGGTGAGACTGGTTTTTTTAGAGACCATGTCCTGGTGGGATTTCAGGCTGGATGAATGGATGCTGTCCCATTGGGTGCCTCGAGTGTACAGAACACACAGGCCCAAGCTCTGCTGCTCATTTTCAGTTATATCTGAATAATTTGGGCTGCAGCTCTGTGACCCAGGTCATGTTTTACCCCAGTAAGAACCGAGCCAGAGCCCAGCAAGGCTTGCTCCCGAGCGGAGGGTTTTCCATCAGCACAGGCCCTGTGGAGCTGGGAGGGATTACTCGTGTCCATGAGGTTCTCAGAGGGAAGGATGGAACTCCTCCAGAGCCCGTGGTCGGGGTGGTGCAATGATGTCATTTTCCTGAACTGCAGCAGACTGCAGCTGAGGGAATTCAGGATATTCTTAGCCTTTTTTTGGATATTCCTGCTCTGCTGCGCACATGGACCCTGGACCTCTCCCGGCATGTTCTGTGACCTTGTCTTCATTCTGCCCATGCAAATCCCCCCCTGTGAGGTTTCTGCATCACTGAGCGGCTCCAACAGCTGCTATTTCTGGCAGGACCAGAATTCCTGACTCCTGTGTTACTGCTGGGCTGAAGCACAGAGAGTCCTGGGACCTGTTAAGGACATAAACAGGATTCTTAGTTCATGGAAGGGGTGAGAAAGACTATTAATGGCTTGCCCTGGGAAGCCCTTGGAGATCACACCCTAAATGTGTAATCCTGTAGAAAGGGGGTTGGCTTGTTTTTTTCTAGCCTGACTGTTGTAGTTCTTCCCTCCCTCCCCTCCCCATGAATCCTCACAGCAAATTCACAGCACATATGATTTGTCCTGAAGGACAGTGGCAGACACAAACCCCTGCACTAATTGGAGGATTTTCCTCTCAAGTTCCTGGTTCTGGACTGGATGCCACTCCATTAGATGGGTGTTAGCCAGCTGCAAACAGCTCCAGCTGAGTCCTGCTGACAGGGAGAATATTTTGTAATATTCAGGAGTCTGTTATGTCTGCCTGTGGCTGTGCTGTGTCAGTGGGAGCTGGTCCCTGGGGGAAGGGGCTTTACCTCGTTCCCCTCCTCTCCCTTTTCATAGAGTTAGGGAATATCTGAAGGTGGAAGGGACACAATAAGGGTCACAAGTCCCCATAAGTCCAGGTCCCTGCAGGACTACTTAAACTAAATCATGTGGCTGAGAGCATCATCCAAAGCTCCCTGAGCTCTGGCAGACTGAGTGTCCTGAGCACTTCCCTGGAGAGTCTGTTCCAGTGATGGACCAGCCCAAACCCCGGAGTCCCAGAATGGTTTGGGTTGGAAGGGACCTTAAACACCACCCAGTTCCAACCTCCCTGCCATGGGCAGAGACACCTTTCACTGTCCCAAGTTGCTCAAGCCGTGTCCAACCTGGCTTTGGACACTTCCAGGGATGAGGCACCCACAGCTTCTCTGGGCATCCTGTGCCAGGGCCTCACCACCCTCACAGGGGAGAATTTATTCCTACTATAAAACCCCAGATCCCTTTCCTTGTGGCTGCTCTTCACAGCCCCTCCTCCCCCAGTTTGGTTACCCCCTTCCCGATGGAGAATCCCACCCTGGTTGTTATTAAACTTCCCGGGGCTGCTGCTTTCCAAGCTCTCCAGGTTGTCCAGGAATCTCTGCAATTCCTCCCCGCCCTCGAGGGCGCCCACGGCTCCTACTTTATTAACATATTCATTTCTCCAATTCCTGCATACTGATCTTTTATTAAAAAAAAGCAACTTTTTTCAGGCATGCAGCTTTCAGTGCCAAGATTACCCCAGCTCCTACTTTACTATGTACGCATCACTGCTGCACCCAGCTCACTTATAAAAACTAATTTTCTCAGGGATAACAGTGTATTAATCACTTCCTCAGGTTCTATCTGCGGGATTCCCTCAGGAGCCTCCCGGTTCTCCGGGGCGCGGGCGGTGA